CCGAACACAAGAAGTGTGGTTACGCAAACAGAGTGACAAACGAGGAAAAGACAAAATAGGGAAAAAGACAACGGAAAAAATTTATCCGAAAAATTCGGGTCATTACATATAGGAAGGCAATCCAAATAGGATAAGAAAGAGAGCAAATGGGTATGGCAGAAACCCAGATTTGGTGCTGAAACTCAAAGGCACCAAATAATCAATTGGATTATTTATAATTGGAGATTTGGTTGTAGTAGATCATCTCCAATTGGACTATTTATAATTGGAGATTTGGTTGTAGTAGATCCTCTCCACCTTCCATTTATAATTAATCCAATTGCATTTGGTTACAAACGAAGTCCAAAACCAAGACACTTAGAAAATTTATTTTCCCATGGTGTTGATATTGAATGATTCTTATACTCCACTCTACATAATAAGGAATACATGACGAATGAAGTAACTCAATGGTGAGTTTAAAAGAGAAGGAAAAAATAAAATAAAATAAAATAAAATAAAGGCAATTGCTTATTATGTAGAGTGAAGTACAAGAACCATCCAATGAAAATTACTTAGCATAGAGAGGTTTTTCTTTTTGAAAGGTTGAGTGGAGAGAGCTTGTACCAGTGGCTCCAATGGATTCTAGTAAATTGCAGAGAGCCCAAAAAGCTCCAATGTAATGGCAACCATGGAGGGTTTTTAAGTAATTTTACTTCAGTAAGTAAGGTCAAATTTGTCTTCATAATAATTAAAAGAGTATTTTAGTAACTTTAAACTTATATCAACAATTACTAACATTGACTAGGCATTGACCTTTACAGGCTGTTAATAGAGGGGTACTCTTTATTATGAAGAGTTAAATTTGAAGGGAGGTCAATGCAATTTGTCAAATAAGAGGGGAGGTCAGTATAACTCGACTGAACCTGAAGATAAGTCAGTGTAATTTACCCTCAATTTTATGAATGAGCTAAAATACCAAAATAGTAGCATTCTAAAAGAATTCTCAATCTATAAATTATAATATTTTTTATTTTATAATTCACAGTCACATACTCCTATGTAGCGGCAAAAGAACAAAAAAAAATCTTAAACTATACTATTGTTATATAATGTGCCTCTGAACTATTTTTAGAAACAACTCAGTCTCTCAACTATAAAAATGTTGCATGTTGCCCCTTGACAATTCTTTCCAACCATGGAGACTAATTTCCAACCAACTGTGACACAATTATTAATTTACCCCTTATTTATTAATTTATTATAAAAATATAAAATTTATGAATGTAAAATATCAATAATGCCCTCATATGTTTTATTTTTTATTTTTTATTTTTCTTCTCAAGTCTCCCCCGCTGCGGAAAGCCGAAGCCAATAAGGTTGCCATCGCCATCAGTGATGCCGGTGACTGCTGCCGGAACAAAGCTTCGTGTTATCAACGGCGGTGGTGAGATCGGAGTTGGCTTCGGAACTGGCTACATGAGGTGAGAGGTGTGAGCGGAGGAGTTTCATGAGACCGGTGGTGAGAGCTCGTGAAGAGGCCATTGATGGAGCTTGTGAGGGATTCCGGCAAACGTCTGGTGACCATATGCTCGCCTTCTCTCTCAACTGTGACCATACTGTCGGTACTCAGGTGTTAACCGCCGGACCGAACAGATTAAGTCGCTGCTAAAAAGCAGCAACCTCACCGCATCAAATCGACCATTAAGCTCGTCTCCAATGCTTGGTTATTGAATCGACTCTCGGCGGCGAGGAGTGTCTCAGCGACGGCCAGGATTCGGTCGGCATATTCGAGTCCACCGTTCGGCCACAGTGGTTGTTCGACGTCGCCTTCTCCCTCAACCGCGAGACCCACCTCTCCTAAACCATTGGGTTGCTAACATAAGGTCGCCGTTATAGTCGGAGAACCAGGTTGTCGTCCGGCATCTTCTGATCTTGAGCTTCACCGGCATCAAGTGGGACTTCGCCGTTGCTTGGGCACTTGAAGACTGTGAAGATTGTTGAGCTTCAAGCATTGCCCCAAAAATGGGTCCGTAGAGATAGGAGAGAGAGTAAGTTACACATGTGGGGGAATTGGGTTTGGCGGCGTAGTGGAGGAGGGCAGTCGAAGATGGGTTTGGGTAATGGAGAGGCTGTCACCAACTCTTCCTAACGCGCTTTCACGCGCCATCACCGGTGCCTTCGTTCATTACCAACTCTGCCTATCCACTGCTCGCAAAACACTGTCCACCTCGTTTCGCAACTGGCATTTCCCAACCCCACTTCTGGCCGATTCAAAAAAGACACCCAAGAGGCACCAAAAAGACAACCAAGAGACACCGAACGTCGCCGGTAGCGGAAGATGATAGAATAAAAATATAAAAATTACGAGGGCATTATTGGTATTTTACATCCATAAATTTTATATTTTTTATAATAAATTAATAAGTAAGGGGTAAATTAGTAATTGTGTCACTCTGTTGGTAGGAAATTAACCTCCACTGGCCGGAAAGTGTTGTCAATGGGGGCAATATATAACATTTCTATAATTGAGAGATTGAATTGCTCCTAAAAATAGTTTAAGAAAATATTATGCAACAATAGTATAGTTTAGGAGAGTTTTTTAAATCTTTTATCAATGTGCTTGAACTTTCAGCCTTCCTTTATATGGTGAGCATTTGGTCAAAATTATGTATTCCAAATTTTGGGGAAATGATAGGATAGGAACATAAGAGAAAAGACTTCAAGAATTAAAACTATAATTGAGAAAAATGGAAAAATGTAACAGTTAAATTTGTTCCTAGAAGTACATCCAGCTTTTAATAGCAAAATTAATTCAATTTTTTTTTTTTTTTTGAGAAAAGTACTTCTAAAATAGTACTTAAAACAGGTATGGGTGTGACATTTTAATGTAATGCTATACAAAGTCAGTTTGGTACGAAGTAACTACTCGTGCCAAAAGTGAATCCTACATCTAGGTGATTGAAATGTTAGTCAAATTTTTAAATTTTTTTTTAACTTAAAAACAGATAGGATCTTAAAATTCCATTCAAGATTCGTGAAAGCCTTTGATTTTCAGTTCAATTGGGATAAAATTGAGTCACAATTTTAAGGTTCAATATCATAAATACATCAATCACGTAAAATATTACATTGTAAGTAAAATTATGACATAAGCAATCTAAGATCGTTATTGTATAAATAATCTGAAATTGTTTCATAATCAATATAAAATTATTGCCTTACTGATGCAAAGTTGTTCCGATCGCACAGACATCCTCCACCACACTAGAGGATCAAACATGATGTTTAGGCTACTAGAAAGTATTTCTAGTGATGTAAGGAATCTGAGGGCATTTGTTTGGTACTACATTAACAGTTAAATTACATTGAGTAATGGGCCTAATGGCATCCGAGAGAGAGAGAGAGAGAGAAGAGAGAGAGAGAGTGGTTGCTGAGAATCCACAAATTTTAATAATCACCCAGATCCAGCTTGCAATTTCAAGAGGTATAAATTATGACAAATTTGGTAAGTCAATGCTAGATTCTAATCAGGCTCATATGCATATATATATATATATATATATATAGTAATGATAATATTAACAATGACTCAATATTGACCTGTAACCATCTTCACATGCTCTAACAGCATTTAGCTACCCCTCCTGGCTGAAATGATGCAACTAAACCTATTAATGTAAGAATTACACTTCTTTGTAATTAATTGCCTCCACAATGATTGATTGAGTACCTAAATAAACATCTATCACAAACACAGATAGCACCTTGTATATGAATATATGATCATTGCTAGTTGATACATGATTTTGCTACACAACTAGAATTGAAAGTGAATAACAACTAGATACATCATCTGGATAAAGATGGAAGAATTGCCTTCAAATCAGAAAATTATACTAGAAGATGGATCAATTATGTGGTTGGACCACTGTCAAATACTTTGCAGTAGATGGAACAATGGCTTGGCTTATTACTCAAAACTTTGCAAAACTTAATCTTAATGATATCCAATAATCTAGAAAACATAGCAAATTTGAAATGCTTCCTTTTTAGGACAATCACCATGCCCTAGTAACATAAACCATGAAAAATTTTCTGTACTGCTGCTCAATCTAAATGTCAACTTCTATATCGAGCCGGTCTTTATATGATTAGGCATAATCCCAAATAGCCTAATCAAGTGATTAGGCCATATTTCATCAACAAGGAAACTCAATGGTTTGAACTTTTATTCTGAATTTAATGCATTGGTGTATGTGTGTGTAAATATATACATATATATATATATATCCATATACATTAGTATATGCATTGCATCAAATGTGAATCAAGGAGGGGAAAGAACACATGTTGTCTACTTGGAATGAAATGCCTTGACATTGTCAATCTTTGAAAATGATAATCAAGAAGGTAAAAAAAATGAAATGTTGTTTGCTTGCCAAAGAATGACTTGACACTGTCAATCTTCCAAACCCATACACGATTTATTCAGTCATCATGTTGGACTTTTGAACATTTAGGTAGCGTTTGGTGGCCTATTGTTTTCAAAAACAATTTTTCCTTTCTTTTTTCAGAAGGGACAAATTTTCGTTTAGGGTTTGTCTGAAAGTGTGTATTCACATGCAAATTAGTGGTGTGGTTCATGAATGTCCACACCTAACATGTATTTGTCTATGGCACATGAATAAAGGGGCTTGATCTGTAAGCATTAGCAAACACTGGACTATATGCATTTTTCTTTTGGCACACTCCAAAGATTTTCTTTATACTACAGAACAAATGGCTTTTAGATCAAAGCAATCATGATTGATTAAAATAATTTCAAAAAGCGAGTTCGGTTTCAGATGAGATCAAAATTAGGGTTAGATTGCTAGAATGGGAAGAGTAGAGTCTAGTTCTAAATTAATTCCGTGAACGAAAACTACAGTGAAAGCATCGTCAATTTAGGTCTTTACATGACATAGTTTTCAGTTGTTCATATCAGAAGACCAGTTTAATGCAACAGAAAGATTAGATGCTGGCCTAAAACAAACATAGTGATCCCATTCAACAGATAATCTTGCTAAACTACGAGCTTCCCAGCAACAAGTACATAATTCTTGAAACTGCAACAAATGTTTCAATAGCAGTATGGATGTCAACTAAATCAGTATGAACAAATGGTGCCTTAGTACATGTTATTTGAGCAGCCTGTGCAAGCCGCCGAAATGAGATATTACCAATTCAAGAATCCACATGTTGAACAAGAACATTGGGGGAGAAGAATGTACATTTGGAAATGAAGGGTAAATCATGCTTCGTCTGCATCACTCCCACCAACATGTGCTTCATGGCTGGCCCAGTAGTTGTTTCCATCCGGACCTGAAATCTTAAACCTGGTACAAAAAAATTTAAAAATTTAAAAAATCAGAACATTATTGAATATAGAATAATCTTATTGAAGCCCAACAGAATTAATTCAAACAGAAAATATATATTTTTTAAACCCGCAAATCTGGTTATCCACTGACCGCTCAAGGACAGATTTTCCTTCCTTGTACTTTTGGCTGATTTCATGGGCAGTCTCCTGAAAGAAATCATCCAAAATAACTAAAAGAAACAATTAAAGATACATATATAAGCTATAATATATGTTCATTCTCTTACATATTTCCATCCCACAATTGATCCGCATGCAACGCAGAAAATGTCAGCAACAACATGCAACCCAGTCGTCATCATTCTCTCTTCTTTTTCTCCAACAGTCACATTCACTCTATCAAAAATTGAAGGCGAGATATAGGATATAAGAGCATTTTGTATGTAAATTATGTCAGCAATGACTTTATTGTATAGAAGAGCATATGATTGTTGGCAAGCCAATTATATCTATCCTCAATTATCTTAGCCCAATTTAGCTCCCTCACTCTCTTGCACAACGTTGATACCAGCAGTTCCTGAATAGGCTATTTCCTTTTCACAATGCAAACAACATTCAAGAGCTAAGTAAATTTTTCCACACTTCAAAGCAAGTGATGTTGTTAAGCTGTTATAGAAAAACTTAGCAGCATGTGAAAAATAAAGGAGCTTAGTTACGTTCTCTGCGTTCTAAAAGAGCTTGTCTAAGCCAGCGGCAGAATTAAACTAGCATATCCATCACGCATTTTAAAAAGTAAATTGAGTTACAATAGTCTGGACAAGCTAGGAACTTCAAACACAAATTGTCTAATTCGTAATTTTATTTTTTGTCCCTTTTGCTCTTCTAGGAACTCGAGATCCATTTATAACTTGCTTGTAGTCCCTAAATTGATAGACAATTACATTTCAAGATCTACTCTTCACATTATTGTTAGAATTTCTTCCTCTTGGTAGCCCAATTGGCCTGCTTACTGTTTCTTTTTATTTCCCAACACAGCATAGGTTTTTACATCCAAAAATAATAATTTTATCTATCATAAATGACCAGGAAGGTAGTATCGTCCCCCTCTTCAACCCCCAAACCCCACTTCCTCCCCCATGCAATAAAGAAGCCAGTACATTTGTATTTGTATTTTTACTTATATATATATATATATCCTGGCAAGAAACTCACACCGCCTCATGCCCTTGTGGGGACTTGAACCCTTGACCTTTTACTTTAGAAGGTGAGGAAGTACCATTGGCTACACCCCTGCGTAGTGAATTTGTGTTTTTTGGCATAGCCTAATTGAATTGCATGGCTTCAACAAATGCTGAGATTTATGTCCAGTACAGTTGTGTATCTAGACATTTTTGGTATTAGAATATAATACTGTGGTGCCCAAGATCAAGAAAAACTTACACCTTACTGAAGAGATAAGCTTTCCCGTGCCTGCAGTGGAAAGACTGAACAAAAGAACGGAGGAAAAAACATATAGTTAGAAATTTGCACTCATTAAACACTTAATAAAAATATATTGGACTACAAAAATGAAAAATTAAATGAAATGAAAATGAAGAATAATTTAAAGAGTCTTGAATGCTAAACCATCAAGAAATTAGTAACCAATCATTGTTTGAGCCCCTTTTGAATTATTTCAAATTGTCTAGACAAAATCCAAAACTGCCTTCACACTGTTTAAACAGCATCTTCTATGTCTAAATAGAACCGTGGTGTTGTTGCAAAAACCGACAGCCTTGACAATTCACAAGGGCCTGTGTTGACCCACCATATGGTGGGGCCCACATAGGCCACTGCGAGAAGTCAGTGAGTCGGGTTTCGCAACGTAAAGAATTATTCATCTAAATACATGAGATTTCCAAGGACATAGAGACATGCAAATACATACATATGTACAATTATACTGATTTGTGATTAGATACGTAGTTGCATTCTTAAATTCAGTCCACTGTGTACTATCGAAGGTCCGATGCAATTATTTTCAACAATAGAAGATTAATGTAGAAGTAAAAACAGACATCCAGCTCATGCTCGGTAGGTTAAGCAAGAAAGCCTGGCCTGTCAAAGTAAAGAAACATTGAAACCAAAACCACCATACACAAAGAAAGAACTCCTTACCAAATCATGTATTTTTTGAAAGAGGTTACATTTAAGATTTGTGGACTCATTGTCCAACAGCAAAGTTTTCAATAGATCAGGCATCAAAATGTTCAGTAAGAAAATAGTAGGAAATGTAAGTACTGCATGAAAATCCTGAGGCATGATATGACGTTAAATAATTGGGAAAATCCCAACCAACAAATAAAAGGTTATATATTTGTCCAATGAATTTCTAGCCATTCAACAGGGGCATCTTCTAAATTTTTAGCAAATTTTAATTTTTTATTTGGATTTCAAGATAACTCAATCATCCACTAATGATTCCTTTATTGAGAAAAATAAATGTAGGGACAAATGCTTAATGCCAAGGCCCATAATCAGTTCAACAAATGGTGACCCACTAAAAAGGCACATAATCAAAAAACAACTCAATCAAATCCTTATTATTTCCTGTTGCTAAATCAATCCTGTTTGGCCATTGTGCTCCATCTAAGGACAAATTGCTCAACTAAATCAAATTGTTTCTAATCAATGCTACATCCAACCACACTACAATTGATTAATTGGAATAAGAATTGGCTTCAAAGAACAAAAAGCCCTAATTGGGTATTCTCAGTCCCTCATTCATTAAATTCAGAAGAGTCAGAATAATCCAATAAAGCATCATAGACTCTTTTCTTTTTCTATTTTTATTCCAAGTAAAAGTTCCCAAGAACCCCAAATACAGCATAAACTATCAGCTTGCAGTCCAATTAATATTTTCTGTGAACTTATTAAAAAAAAAAAAGAAGAAGAAAAGGACCAATTTTATTCCCCTTTTATTGAAGCAATAAGTGTTTACTTAAATCCTCATCTCTAACAATCAACTCCTCAAATAAGCATCAAAACAACAAAAACTCATTATTTCAGAACTAACTACCAACAAAAATATACAATTTTACAAACAAAGACCACAAACAACAACAAATTGATAAAAACGAAGTAAGATTTTTAAAATAATGAAAACAAACAGTAAAGGGTTAATCGATAGAAACCTTGGAAACGATGTCCTCACAGAGAGCAAGATGGGTTCGGCAGTACTTGCAGCTGTAGATCTTGCCCTCAAGATTGACCACAAACAGCCTCCCCATTTCTTCTCTCTCTCTAAACCTTCTAAAACTCTGTCCTCTCTCTCTCTCTATAAACCTTCTTTACCTACTTTTTTCCAACACCCAAAACCAAAAACTATGTCAAATGAGAGAATTCAAAAAAGGGTCCGTTTAATATCGACCAAAATTGCCCAAAAAAATTATAGTTTTATACATATAATGGATTCGGAAGATCCGAGTGAAGTGAAAGCAATGTATTATAGAGAAGAAATGCACAAAAAGAGGACGAAAAAGAGAAGGCACACCAGAGAGAAATCGTTGAATATTAAGCAAATCACCTTTAGAACTGTAAGTCGCTGGAAATATGGACCAATAAAGTCTCATGGACTATATATAAAGCCAAACTTGTATGCGTATATCATACACTCTCTCACGTTATAAAGAGCAAAATACGTGTATTGTACGGTTTAAAGGCTTAATTGCAATCAAGTCCCTTAGGCTATGTTTGGTAGAGTAGAAAAGAAAAAGAAATGATAATACTAGTTAGGTGAGAAAATCAAACAAAAAAGAGGGAGATGATCTAAGTCAAATAAAGTGGGAGCGGGAGTGAGAGTGAGAGTGTGAGAGTAGCAGAATTAAGTCATAAGTAAGCAAGAGCGCAAGTGAATTCGAGAGCGAGGGTGTGAGAGCAACATATTTAAGTTATAAGTAGTAAGAATTTGAATAAGAGTGCACGGTGCGTGAGAACGAGAGAGCGCACTTAGAACATGAGAGCAATACCTATTGAGAAGGATTGTGTGATTGAGGAAACGATACTATTTGTGATATTTGGTTGATTAATAAAGTAAAAGAGTTAAAAGAATCATGTTTGGAGAAAAAAAATGAAATAAAACTATTTTAGGTTGTGTTTAGTTGTATGAAACTAGAGTATTGGTATTGGCAACTGTAGTATTGGTATTGAAATTGGAATGGTTCAATTTTCTAAATTGTTTTTCTTCTATTCCACCAATTCCAATTTAAAAACTTCAATTTTGTGCAGCCCCAACATAGCTTTAATGAATTTACAACTATATACTTTTTTATAGATTTTGTCTAAGTAGAAATTAGCCGGTTGGGTGTCCTCTGTTTGAGTTCCCCTCTCCTAGTTTGTCAATAAAAATTTAAAAATAAATAAAATAAAAATAACGACAAATTTAGAATTAATAAAACTTCTTCACTAAGATAATTATTTTTGATGTCTTCCTTTCTTTCCACTTTATGTTTGGGAGGATAACAAAAATTTTTGTTCATATCTTATTGTATCCCTTCTAATTCTTTCTTTTTCTTGCAATATTTTATACCAAAAACAATTTCTCAACTCTCCTATTACCGTTATTTTTATTTTCCTTCCATTTCCATGGTACTAGCAAAATTGATAGTCTATCTATTTAAAATAAATTACCCATTTGTAGTTAGTTGTGGTTAAAAAGGAGATAAAATGACTTTAATACTTTTTCTCCAGAAAAATTATGTTATCAACTATAAAAATTTATCAATTGTAAAATTATAAAAAGGAGATAAAGATTTTGACAATTTTGTAATTTAAAGTGAATCTATTTTATATTTAATATTTTATTTCTGTTAAAAAAGGGAAGTCATTTTACCTACCTCCTTGTCAATAGACACCTGACGGGTAATACTGTAATGACAAGAGGGACAATGTGTAATTATTTTTAGATCAGAGTTATCAATCAAAAACATAATTTAGGGGTTTTTTCACAAAAAAGACAGTACACAAGGACCAAGTACAATTAGCAAATTAGAAGAGGGTGGACTCCAACACGTGGGCAACGGTGTTCAACCAATTAGATCCCTCGATAAATTTATTTTTGAATTTGATTATGATGTTTTTGCATTGATGATTTAAGTCATACAACTTTTCTTAACACGTTTTGACTGTGCTCTCACTTTTGAATTCGCTCTCACCATTACTCTCGTTTTCGCTTTATGTGACTTAGCCGATAACCATCATTTTGTTTTTGTATTTTTGGTACCTTAGTTTTGTTTATTTTCACTTGTGCAATTATTTGATTTTTGGCTAATGGAGTTTAGATTCTGTACACACATTTTTTTTATTTTTTTTTTTATTTTTTGCCGAAGCCATGAAACAAAAAAAACACTAAGAGGAAATAGAAGGAAGATCAGTCTCAAGAGATAATAAAAGCCAAGATAGCCACACCTCCCAAGCAAGATTTCCTTGATTACATTTAAGAGTCTACTGACCTATATCATGAACTACCTGTTACAACTTCGAGGAACCCAATTCAATGAAAAGGTAGGTACAGTAGAAGCACCGGAAACCATTTTAGCTATATCTTCAATCAAACCATTTTAGCTATATCTTCAATCACAATCGCTGAGGAAGAATCTAGAGGAGAAAGGGACATAACACACTTATAGTTTCCTTCAACAACGGATCGGGTGTAACCCAGACCTGCAACAGACGTAACCCAAAATGAATAACCAAAGCTGCTGCCATGGAAGCAGAGTGGACAAAATCAAAAAGACACGAAGCAACTCTTACCGGTCTGCCCCAAGAGTCTCTCAAAATTAATCCACCACCACATCTCTTGCGACACCAATCAAAAGCTGCATCACAATTGAGTTTGAGCACCCCATGTGGCGGAAGGAACCACGACACAGGCCTAGGAGGAGCCGCAGGCACTCCAGCCTAGCATCCTTCTGACAAACATCCCTGAATTCAACAAAATTGTCCCTGAATTCTGTACACTTGAGGATATATTTTCAACTTGAAAAATAGAAAGAAAGAAAAAAATTAGTGAAATGAAAAAACAGAATCGTTTTGACTTTAAATCAACAAAAATCATGCATACCTGAGAATTAATTTTCAGCAGATAACCTATCACAATCAAAATTCATTTTGATTTATAATTTTATTTTTAAACAAAAAACTTCCTGTGACTTTTAAAAGTTCATATCAATGTTTTAAAATTTTAAAATACAGGTTGACCACTGGCTCAACATGAGACACCTTCAATGGCATTAGCAACTAAAATCAATAAAAATTAAACCCTTTGACATGCTTGATCTACTTTCAATAGTCATATCATTTTCAGCATTAAAAAATTAATAAAGAGTTATTCATCAAAAGTCAAGAACTTGATTTGTAAGGATAATAATGGAAAACTCTCAAAATAATAAAAATAATAAAAAATTGTTGATTTTAATTATTTTTTGTACCTAAAGAAAACACAAACAAATTAAGACACAAGGTTAACTGTTAAAAGTTTCTTTTAATCATAAACTATATATATTCAGAAGAATAAGAAAAAAGTTCATATCAATGTTTACAAAATTAAAATACAGGTTGACCACTGGCTTAACATGAGACACCTTCAATGGCATTAGCAACTAAAATCAATAAAATTTAAACCCTTTTGAGTTGCTGGATCTACTTTCAATATTCATATCATATTCAGTTTTAATTTTAATAAAGAGTTATTCATCAAAAGTCAAGAAATTCATCCATGAGTTTTGGCAAGCTTGTTGTGGGCCACGAACTTGATTTGTAAGCATAATAATAATAATGGAAAACTCTCGAAATAGTAAAAAAAAAAAAAAAAAAAAAAAGTGTTGATTTTAATTATATTTTGTACCTAAAGAAAACACAAGCAAATTAAGACACAAGGTTAACTCTAAAAGTTTCTTTTAATCATAAATTATATATATTCAGAAAAATAAGAAAAAAGTTTAATTATAACTCCGTTTGTTTCGACTTAAAATATATATTTTTTATTTTTAATTTTCGGTGTTTGATAAAGGTTGAGTTTGAATCCATCGAGCAGGGCATGTAAAATAATTTGTCAAAAATTAATGAATAAATTGTTTTTGTTAGAATTTAGTTTTTTTTTTCTTCGTTAATATTTTACAACAATCAAAAATTAAAAAATATAGAAAATATTTTCCGAAAAATAGCCTTTAATGAGCATCTCTATAAGTTGGATAAACGGACTCGATGTGCCATATGGTGGATCAAGTCCTAAGCAGGTCTTATGAAATATGACTGTTGTTAACTGGATATATGTGAGTTTTGGGTTCAGTATATCATATTTTATAAGTCCTGCTTATTTAGGCCCAACTAATTTCAGTAAATTAAAGGTCGGACTTGGGATGGGCCCTACTTGGATAAGCACATTATAAACCTGTTGAGAGTTCTTGGATCCTTCTTTTATTTCTGTTTTAAAAGCTTAGTCAGGCCCAAAACTTCAATACTAAATTTAAGTTCAGACTAGGGTTGGGCCAAGACTTGGATCATCACAGTAGAAACATGTTCAAATAATTTGGGCCAAGACTTGGATCATCACAGTAGAACATGTTCAAATAATTTGGGCCAAGACTTGGATCATCACAGTAAAACATGTTCAAATAATTTGGGCCAAGACTTGGATCATCACAGTAGAAACATGTTCAAATATTTTGGGCCAGTCCACAGTGTAGCCCATAAAATTTTCAATGTCTTCTTTACATACATATATCATGTAATCCACAATTTGGGCCAATCTCACCACATTATGGGTTGATTAAAAGCAATACTTTTTAGGTGGTTCTCATTTCTAAATTTATTTTTTTTTTTTTTTTTCATGACTAGGGGTAAGTGGTGCAAGGTTTTAATAGGGGAGCAACCCAACCATTCGGGTAGCATGACACTTGCAAATTTTATTAGTTAATTCCATGAACCAAATCGGCTTAAAGGGACCATTAAACAATATTAACGAAAATCAAATTTTTAAAAAACGAGAACATAATTATATGTGTGCATATCTTCTTCTTTTTTTTAAGTATGTAAATTTTCATTTTTAATTCCATACTGTTGAACATAACTTTTCTTCAATTTTATTTTCGTTCTCATATCATATACACCGATCAATATCAACAAAAAAAAACATTAAATGATTTTATAAAACAATGTTATCAAACCAATTAGTGCCACATTTGATAACAGATCGAGCTCGTGAAGAATAAAAAATTGAGAACATATATAATTGCATGAGATTATATATGTGTATGCATTTCTACATACATGTAAACATTTAATTAGGGCACAATGAAGAATGCATGGTTGCTGTTGGTCCATTATGGTGACAATTACAACACCAACCTGTCCTCTATGTATGTGTGTGTGTGAATATATATATATATCAAGATCGATTATGATTGATCGATCTTTAGATCAGAGGAAAGAGGGATAAAAGGGTAACCACTTTTTGAAGTTATAATTATAGTTACAACCAATTGTTATAGAGTATATATGTGTATGCATGAGATTATATATGTGTATGCATTTCTACATACATGTAAACATTTAATTAGGGCACAATGAAGAATGCATGGTT